AGGGTAGAAAATATTTAGCTAGAAAATATTTAGCCAATAATTTTAGCCAATAATTTTGTGATAGTTCTCCCCAAATTCTGATAGATCTAGTTGCTAACAAATTTAACCAAGCTTTAGCTTTATCTCTTAATGAAAAAGGAAAAAATATAAGTTTGACAACATCATAGACACTCTATCATATTTAAATGTAGCACATATTTCTAGAAAACTAGCAAGATGTAAGTTAGGATCTTCAGCAGGTGTTCCTCTAAACTGATTATTTTGTATCATTTGGATTATAACAGGTTTAAACTCAAATAAATTAGCAACAACATCAGGATTTTGAATAGTCAAGTGAAGTTCATCTACTGTAGGATTAGCATGATTTTTTAAAGATCTTTGTCAATTTTCATTTTCATTTATTTGATTATTCATTTATTTGATTATTTCATTTATTTGATTATCTAAGTTATTCACCATTTTGTTCAAATTTCTAATTTCTTTTGGTTGTTTTTAAATTTTTCTAATAGTACATTCTAACTTTAAATCGAAAGGTACTAAACCTTCAGATCCAATACTACGAATAAACAAATATAATAAGCAATAGTAAAAATTCTTAAAATACTCCTAAATTTCTGTTAATTTTTTTTTTATGATTTTTTTTTTTTAATTTTTGTTATTTTTTAATTATATATATATATATTATTTACTTTATCGCTAAATTTCCTAATCTTCCTAATTTACCATATTTATTTAATTTACTGTTACCTTCCCCAGCAACTACGCCAAAAATTTGATCCCAAAATTATAGATGTGTAAAATTAATAAAGTTGAGTCCCCTTTGCAACAGTGTCAAAACTTGTTTCGTTATTGATGAATAAGATGAGATTCTACGCAAGTATATGTATCAGTATCACGTAATATAAGACTTTCTGATTAAGCCCCAATTATCAATCTCACAAGGAAGATGTAAACTCGTAATAGAAATTGAAATCACGCAATTCACAATGATAAAGAAAATCTACTATACTAATTTCAAATGTTTAGGATGCTATCAGAACTAAATTGCCAACTACTAGTGAAACTGAAAAGCAAAGCTAAGCAATTACTACTAAACTATCTTTATATTTTTGTGACGAAGTTATCAAATATGAGAAATCATCTTTCCCTCATCTTTCCCACTATACTTCCCACTACAATGAATTTTTGGTTAATGATAGAGATAAATGATTTGAATTTATATTGTGCCAAATATGAGCAACTTTAATTCTCTACACTCGGTTAAGTGTTATAGAGAATCGTTGGCTAATCTTAGATTTAGTCCTTAAATCCGTTGTTAGACTGGGAGGATACTGACTCTCACTCTATAGCTCCCACTTCCCTTCCCCTGAAGGCTAACTCTTGCTTTAGTTCTTAAACACTAAGACCAAATTGGGGATTTTATTCTATCACCCTAAAAAATCAATTTTTCGCCCAATAATGTATAATTCCATATTCATTTGCACCCAACTTCATGAACGAAACACTCCTTCATGGAATCGAATGTGATTCTTACTTTGTTGTAGAACTCTTACTCCATTTCCCGGATCGTATGTTTCACAACAAATTTTAACATTTCAATTGATTAGATTGAAAAGTAAATTAAGAACGAAGTGAAAAACTCATCACAATTTATTTTTATATTTTTAGAATGACACATCCAATTTATCTTTTCATTTCACCATATCTCAGAGTAAGGAGAAAGACAAAGAAGACTGCTCATAACTCATGAGGAAGATACAACAAAACATGAATTTTATAAATAAAAGAAAGTTTATACAACAATAATAAACAAAGATCACTTATCTGTAACTCTTCCTCAAAGTAAATCCCTTGAAGCTCCTCTTGAGTCACTTTCTCTCTTTACAGGACTCTTGATTCTCTCTTAGAAGATGTAAGGAAGAAGAAAAATCTCACTTCTCTCCCTCTCCAACAACACTTAAGAGGAGAAATCACACTTAGACTCACCACCAAACTCAAAGAACTGACTTAAGACTCAACACACTACACAATACACACGATGAAACACTAGTGGAAAACAATGAGACACTAAGGGACTATTTTTCTGATCAAATTTCATTCTAAATAGAGCATAATGTCGGTTTTCTAAGAGATGTGTCTTGTAACTCTTCAAAAAAATGTCCAGATTCATGGAATCTTCTAGAAATTTGCCCCAACACCGACATTGGCGCCGTCAGCGCCCACGCTGGTGTCGTCAGCGCCAATGACCCGAAATTAATTTGGAGATCTTTGTAAAATGGCGCCGTAGGAGCCTAGTCTAGCGTTGTTAGCGCCCCCGCTGTTCTGGACTCCTTCCTTCATGCTGCTGTCGTCGGCACTGAGTATTTCTCTCCAAAACGCCATTTTGACTCCAAATTTTATCATTTTTGCTTTCTTTTTGCTTTAAGTGCTAAAAATCATCAACCTGCAATAAAACATGAAAATACCTTTTTTTAAAGCACAATATCACCAAAAATGAGTTTAAAATATAGGTCTAAAAATGCATATATTTTTTGTGCATCATGCTACCACCATCAAAGTTTCTACGTTTTATCAATAATCATTACAAATATCAAGAAAATATTAATCCTCGATCTTTTAAACTTTAGTTTTACCAATGATCAAACATCTTATAGCACTTTACTAACAATCTTTACTAAAATCTATTTCACAATTAGATGATAAAGTCATCATATGACTCTTCCTTTTTATTATCATAATCCAATATAAATTATTATTTTAGCTTTTCATTAATTCTATATATACCCTTTGTATAACATTTAAAGCAATAAACATTCATAGAAATAAAGAGAACACTAAACAGTAAAATGAAAGACTAAATTAGGTGGTTGAGAAGAATTAACATCATTTGAGGGAGATGAGGGTTTATGAGAGCAATGAAATGAAAACTGAGGTTAAATATAATATTAGATTTCTAAAGATTAGAACAATCTATAAACCTATAATTAGAATAGTTATTCTTTTATTTTTCAATTAACAAACCAAAGTGAAAACACCTTCATGGAATTGATAAACTAAAATTTCCATCTAATTTTTAATGTCTTAAAATGAGATATATAATTTTTAAAGATTCAATATATTTCATTGCATCGATTTCTAAACATTTGTTCGAAAAGTATTATTATATTTAATTTCTTTTAGCCTTATGTAAGGGGGATGAGTAGACTATGATGCACCTTTTCATTAATTTTGACAGATTGAATTCTTTAAAATTCATTTATAATATATTAGTAAGAAAAAAATTTATCTATTATAACTAATTATGTAAGTATTTAAGGATATGAACCCCCATTAACTCTAATTAAAGGATTATTAAAATCTTTGGCATTATGATGATGGAGCAAAGCTCTAGCCCTACATTTTGTGTAGGTCCTCTATTATAAAGAGCACCATCAATAAACTTTGGATGCTGAGGTTGAAGGAGATAACACTAACATTTGTCAAAGGGTGGAAGTTAAGAACTTTGGCTAGAATGATTGTCTTATAAAAGAAAATCCACTAAGTTAACAAAAAAAAAATGCTACTAAGCCATACATATACATATGAGCCGACAAACTTTGGCTTGAAGAAGAGTAAGATTCTCTTAATCTTCATTGATAATGAACTTCTTTCATTAAGTGAGGATATTACCCTTTATATATCATCACTTCATGAAAAAAAAAAAATGAGAAGAATTTTATTTTAAAAATATCATATGAGAACAATTTGTTTTAATTTGGAAATCATTAATTTTATTTTAATTGTTTTAAATAAATGATCATGGTTATTCATGCACGGCTAAATTGGCTTCTATTTGCATAAATACCCTGCTTTAGGCCATCCAAGGCTTTGATTTCCCTTTCCAAAAAACTTTGCCAAAATGTTCAAATGAGAGTAGTATTGGGTTATGATATATATTGATCATTTTTTGCATGGATCCTTCGTTATTGGACAAAATTTTTCTTATTCAAGCCCTGAAAATTGTCTAGCGTCCTAATAAGAACTGCATCTAACATTCACCTTTACAGTTATTCAATGTGGCTACTTCCATTGAATTTCCATTCTAAATGAGGATACAAGCTCCCTTTATCATCTCATGCGAATGTAGGTAAACCAATGTTGCCTAGACTTCCCTTGTTAAATCATCAAACTGACTTTTATAAGTTAGTGTAAGTAAAACATATACATTGATAGTAACTCTTTGAAATCATATACATGGTCCAAGCACTCTTTAATAGTTAAATGTTTAAATACTCTACACTATTACGTATGTGATGCGACAATAATTGCAGGTAATACATGAAAATGTATATACGATGTAATATAATAAATTTTTTTTGACTTTAGCATGATTAATTGATGAAAAGAATATACTAAAAATATGATTATTAGTGTGAGCTCATCATACATCAATCATCCCAATTACTCCTAGAATGAGTGATCACTAGGCAAAAGTAAGAACAAGAAATAGTTGATTTAAGTTAATATCCACTCTATAGTCAATTCAAGTTTCATTTTTTTCTTTATTTTTGAATGCTCTATTTTAAAAGCAACCTTACTTCAATATTAGAATGTTTCATCCTTACTCATATGCATTTCAAATATTTTAGCATTAAGATTATTAGGATTAAATTATGCTTGCCAAAAAAGGCTTTATAAGGAATGTAATAAAATGCTAGCAAAATAGAAAGGCAAAAATATCTTTTTATTTTAATATCTTTATGTATTTAATATTTTTCTAGAAGAATTTTTAAAAATGCAAATTATTTATTATAATTAACTTTTTTTAATCTTAAAGATATTTAAATTAATTTTTAATGTTACAATGGCATTCTAAAAATTATTTGAGCAGCCAGAGAGTGTTTTTCCTGTCCGGTCATCAAATGTGCGGACAACGGACGCTGCATCTCGTCCGTTGTCCGCAGGTACAGTGACCGGACAGAAAAATTTGGCCAGTCGAACTTATAGTGACCCGTTTAGGGTTCTAAATTCCTATTGTGGGATATATTCCAATAAAAAATGAGAAATATATTTAGATTAGGGCATGAAAAAACAGCCATCTTTTTACAGGCTTTTTCTGTAACAGGCTAGTACTGAAATTTGACGAAATACTGCTGCAAGACGTAGTTAAAAGTTTGAAAGCAGAGTGAGGTAAATTAAAATGAATGGAAGTGGAAAGAGCTTAACAAATAATCAAAATTTTCATCCATTGATTCTTCTCAAGCTAATTGAACCTCGCTAAGGAAAGCATATATTGAGAATATAAAACCTGAGGTTAATTTTGGGGGAGGAGACCAAAACTTTTAGTTCCTATGGCCGACTCCAAAATGGAACCTCCTCGCATATTTGTCATTAAGGGCATATTCCAGGCGGAGGGGCCCCAAAGGAGAGTCCACACGAATGCCCACGCCGTACCCATGGCCATAGCCAGGCTTTCCCCTTGCTCCAGCAGGATCACCTGATCATGAAACAAATAATTATTACGTTAATGACATTTCAACTCTGCTTAGTACAGCTTTTATGAGTAATTTATTCCTAGTAAAGTTCCATGCAAGCCTAGTAGATGTATTTGCGTAAGGAAAAAATGAGTTTTAAGCAACAAATAAAATTTTACTGTAAGAACTGTGATTAATGGAGGTTATTTGATTATTTAGCATAGATTGGTGTGCCCTCACAGCAAGATCAGACGCAATTTCCTATCCCTCCCAAAGTAGGACCAGATCTTAGCTCTAAATTAAGTCATGAAAAGGTTAGTGGCATCAAGGCAGTTGCAGGGAATGAACAGTGGAGCACTCGGTCGTGTCTGTGCTGTCAGAATCCCCGCTGGAGGTGGAATATGGGAGTAGTAGAGTAAAAAGTAATCAAGGTTGGGGTTAGAGGAAAAGATAACGAGTTTGACATTAAGAAAATTTACATAAATACCACACAATTCTTTTGTATTTACATACTTGACACCTAAACTTTCATATTTGCATTAATAAGATTTTAAAATGGTATGTTTCACTTTTGAAAAGATAGTAGAGTGATACGTTTGATATGATGTTAAAGTTTGAAGTGTTACGTAATTAAATATAAATTTTTGGTGGTACATATGTAGGTATATAAATGACCCTACACTATGAAAAAATCCCAAAAATTTATTTTTAGCTTTTTTGTTAAAAACAAAACAAATTCTTAAAAGCAAATAACTTAATATGTTTCAAACAAAAATAAATCATCTTTTGTATTTTTTTCACTGTATTTTTTCAAAGAAAAGCAAAATGATACCAAAAGAAGCCTTAGCTTGTTTGTGATAACTTTTTTTTTTATTTATTTATTTCTTTTGCTTTCTTTTCAAAAATATATTTTATATGTTTTTATTTTTCAAAAAACTATCTTAAAAAGTACTCAAAAACATTCTTAGCTGTTTTGAGAATTTTCAAAATTAATTTTATTTTATTTTAACTTATCAAAGATTTTCTTTCAAATTAAAATATAAACAAAATAAAATATAGAAATAAAAAAAGGTGATCTTTAACAACACTTGGCTTTCTAGAAATGTTGAAATTAGATGCAAAACAAAATAAATAAATAAATAAATAAATAATAATGAAAGCGTTCAAGTTGCGCAACCTAACTGCGGTAATGTGGTGGAAATTATTCCTCCTGACATAGAGGAGTTGGGTAAGAAAGCTGATGAGGTTCACATTGCTAATGATATTGATGCTACTATCTTGAATGTGAATGATATTACGACTTTTTGTACGACCATTGCTAATGATCTAAATAAGATACAGGTTGAAAATGAGTCTTTCAGTGTTATCAATCTTAATGACTCTAACGAAGGTAATGTAACTGGTAAAGATTTAGATTCTCATTTTGTTAATCATATTAATTCTAACCATGAATCCGAAGGTGCAGCTGTTCCTCATCAAGATATGCATCAAGACATAATACTTACTAAAGAAAATGAGAATGGTGAAACCTCTTTTACCACTCTTGGTATAGATAATCATATTGTTAATAATGATAATATTATTGTAGAAGATGATAATGCTTTGACTAGATCTGAGCTTGAGGAAGAATGGATGGTTAAAAAATCATCCAGAAGGAGAATTAAGGGTAGCCGGGAACCCAATTATGTGAATTCTGCTGCTCTTAATGAACAGCTTCTGAGTAAGAATTGGGAACCTAATGATTTGTCTATTAACCTCTAGGATTACTAGAGGGAGGAGAGAACAAGATAATGAAATTTAATACTTTATTATAGAATATTAGAGGCATTGCTAAGGACAATGCTTCTAATCAGCTAAAGAATTTGATACGTATTTATCATCTGTCTTTCTTTGGAATTCTTGAACCTTTAGTTAAATCTTCCAACAATGATAAATATGTTAAAAAACTTGATAGTTTTCATTACTTTGCTAACCTCAATAATAAGATTTGGTTTCTTTGGAAAGATTGTATTATGGTCGATATTCTTATAAATCATAATCAATTACTGCATGTTAATATTAATTTGAATGGGATTCTTTTTTTTAAACATTATTTATGATGGTTGTCATAGAAATGATAGAATTGAGTTATGGAATTTACGTAATTCCATTGGTCCCACAAATGTACCTTGGTTAGTTGGGGGAGGTTTTAATATTATCTCCTCTGATGTTGAGAAGAAGGGCTGTTCACCACCTAATCTAACTCTTATTTCTTATTTTAATGAGATACTGTTGGATGTGGGTCTTTTTAATTTGAGGTTTCATGATAATCCTTTTACTTGGAATTATGGTCTTGTCTTTGAAAGGTTTGATAGATTTGTTTCTAATTCTGCTTGTTACACTTATTTCTGATTTTAATGAGATACTGTTGGATGTGGGTCTTTTTAATTTGAGGTTTCATGGTAATCCTTTTACTTGGAATTATGGTCTTGTCTTTGAAAGGTTTGATAGATTTGTTTCTAATTCTGCTTGGAATAATTATTTTTTTATGCATGAGGTTCATCATCTTGCGTTTTTGGCTTCATATCACACCCCATTTTGATTAAGGTTAAAGATGAAATTAGTAAGAAATTTTATCATTTCCATTTTTATAATATGTGGATTCTTCACCCTCTCTTTCTTATGGATGTTAAAGAGAATTGGAATGCTCACAAGATGAATTTTAAGCATAATGGTCTTGGTGTTAAGCTTTGGTTGCTTCAGAAGAATCTTGCTAAGTTTCTAAAAAATTGGAATTGGAATGTTTTTGGAAATCTTAGTAAGGTTGTCGCCGATGCTGAGAATCGAGTTAAGGAGTTAGAATTGGATTACTGTAATAATAGTAGTAATCTTGACCTGTTGCTTCAAGGGCCACAGGATTTGACTAATGCTATTAATATAGAAGAATCTTTTTATGCTCAAAAGGCTGCTTAAGCTAATTTTTTAGATGGTGACAGAAACTTTGTCTATTATGATGCTTAAATTAAGAGTAGAAGGAAGCTTAACATGATTACTAATATTAAAAGTATTAATGGTAGTTCTTTCTCTAATCCTATTGATATTGGTAATGACGGTGTTAGCTTTTTATCTAATTTATTTCATAATGACAGTAGCCTCTTGCTCCTATTAATGTTGATTTGTATCCTATATCTTCAAGTTTGAATAATTTAAATCTTACTTATATTCCTTCTAAAGAGGAGATTAAAGATTTTATTGATAGCATGGAGGATGGCAAAACTGCTGGTTCGGATAGTTTCACTGTGGAGTTATATAAGAATAGTTGGGATAATATTCATCCTGAACTTGTTAAGGTCATTCAAGATTTTTTTGTGGTAATGATCTACCCAGACATTTTAAATCGTCTAACATTGTTCTGATTCGTAAAGAGAATGGTAAGGATTCTTGGAAAGATTTTAGACCTATCATCATTAATACTGTTATGTCTAAGATTATTTCCAAGATTATGGTTAAAAGAATTCAACCTATTTTAAATAATATTATTTTTTTAAATCAAACTGCATTTTTAAAAGAAAGGCAGATTGGAGGCAATGTTCTTACTGTGCAGGAATTGCTGTTGGATCTTGATAAAAGTAAACGTTGTGGTAATGTTATTTTTAAAATGAATATTAAGAAGACTTTTGACTCTATCAGGTGGGAATTTTTACTTGAAGTTATTAAAAAAACTTTTGATTCTATCAGGTGGCAATTTTTATTTGAAGTTATTAAGGTTGTTGGCTTCAATCATAATTTTTGCAATATTATTAAAAGGATTCTAAATAATAACTATTACTCTGTTATAATTAATGGTACCTCCAGTGGCTACTTTATGACCTCTAAAGGTATTAAACAGAGGGATTCTATTTCTCCTTATCTCTTTATTCTTGCTTTTGACTATCTTTCTAAGTATCTTAACAATCTTTTTGATAAGTATCCTAGTATTAACTATATGCATAGAGGTGGAATTAGCATTTCACATCTTTGTTTTATGGATGAACTCATTCTTTTTACTAATTCTAATAAGAGGTCCGTCAAAAAGATTTGGAAGGTGATCTCTCATATGCAAGATGCTCTCGTTTAGTTTTTAACACTTTTAAATGTTATTTTTATTGCTCCAAGTATATCTCCGCTACTAAGAAAAACTGGATTGATGATTATACTGATTGTGTTAAGACTAGTTTACCTTTAAAATATCTGAGTTTCATCCTTGACAAAAAAGTTAAGAAGAATTATCTTTTTTCTGAATTATTTGATAAGATTAGAATAAGAATTCTTTCTTGGGAACATAAGTTTATATCTTTTGGTGGGCGTGTTGCTTTACTTAAGAGCATCATTACCTCTCTTCCTCTTTATATTATGCAAGTGATGTGTATGCCTCTTGGTTTCATTAAGAGGCTGGAGATCTTATTTAACAAATTTCTTTGGGAAGAAGAATATTCATTGGAGCAGCTGGGGGAAGCTCTGTAAACCGGTTGGTAAGGGTGGACTTGGTTTTCGTAGGATTGTTGATTCTATTAGAATTAACTTTATGAAGCTTTGGTTTCAGTTTCAAATGGATAATTCTATTTGGGCTTCTCTGCTTCGTGTTAAGTATTGTTCTACTTCTCATCCCCTTTCAATTTCCTTTTCTAAGAATGATTCTTTTATTTGGAGGGAGATTCTTAAGTTATCTTCTCAAGTAGAAGAGATGTTATGTTGGGATGTTGGCAAGGGGGATGTGGCTTTTTGGTATGAGGATTGACATGGTAATGGTGCACTTGGTGACTTATATGGGGGTCCTCAGGATATATATATAAAGGTAAAAGATTTATGGGTTGGGCAAAGTTGGAATTTGCCTACGTTGCTTACTATGGTGCATTATAATGATGCTAAGATTATTTCTCATATTCCTAGTATAACTAATAAAATGATGTTCCTAAGGTTAAAGGTAAGCTTGGAGATTCTATTACTAAATTCTTTGCTAATCATATTTATTCTTTTCAGGGAATGGGTTAAGCCTTCTATTTCTTTTTTTTGTTTGGAGGATTTTTCATGAAATCATACCTACTGATAATATTCTTAACCTTAAGGGCTTAAGGATTGCTTCAAAGTGTGTTTTCTGTATGAATGCTGAGGAGTCTCTTTGTCATATTTTTAGTTCCTATAAATTTGCTATGGATATTTGGACTAGTATTTTTGACATTTACGATAGGAGGGATGTTTTTTTCTGGTTATCCTAACGTTGCCCCTATTTATGATGATTGGAAGGATAAAGGATGCGATTTCTTATCTAATATTCCTTCTATTGTTCTTTGGTTTCATTGGGTTTCTAGAAACTCTACGAGATATTATGCTGAGACTATTACTGCTAGAACTACTTTTTCTAAAATTTGTTTTTATATGAGTAAGAGTCTTTCCTTTATTGGTATGAAGCATACTAAAATGTGTATGTAAAAGCAATTCTTACTAAACTTTCTATTAGTTTTACTACTAGTTCTCCTTCCCTTTGTAAAGTTGTTTGGAATAAGCCTTTTGCTGGGAGTTGGAAGCAGAATGGTGTGGGTATTGGAGGAGTTTGTAGGGATTGGAGAGGTTCTGAAATTTATTGGTTTGTTGCTCCTTCTTTTCCTGGTTCTCTGATTGCCGCAGAAGCTCATGCTATTGTCTTTGCTTTGTTGATTGCTAGGAAGATGGGTTGGCATAATCTTATTGTTGAGACTCATCCCCTTATTCTATGAAGATTTGTAGGGTTATTTTGGTGTGTCATTGGAGTATACATTTGCAGGTTAAGAAGATCCTTCATCTGGCTAAAGATCTTAATGTGTTTTGTTCTCATACTAGAAGAGATGGAAATGTTGTTGCCAATTGGGCGGCTAAATTGGGATCTTTTCTGAGAGCACCTTTTATTTCTAAAATCTTACCTGATGAACTTCATAGATTGGTTCTTTTGGACTTGTAGGTGGTTTAGTTTTGTTGGGATGTGTTGAGTTCTATTTTTCTTTGTTTGGAAAGAGGGCCTTTTATTTCTTTCTTTTTTTGGATTGTAGGGTGTGTGTACCCGTTTGTACTTTTCTTTTATTGGAATAAAATGAGAAGTCGAATAAAGCTCTTTATAAAATAAATAAATAAATAAAATCATGCTTAAAACAACCAAATCTCGTGTTGTAACAAAAATAAAATTAAAAAAAAACAAAAAGACAGTATTTTCTAACCACCGACTATGTTGGTTTTCTACATATTGCTTTACTGACTTTTAGCATCCTGTGTCAAATTTTCGTTCATGTAGCTCAAAACCAAATTTGACATATTATTAAGGAATATGTTAAGAAATTAAATACAATTGTGTACTGTTTTAGAGGTGGTTGTCTCATTGTTTTCATGAATGGCAAATACACAAAGATATTCATTTACGAAAGCCAAACATACATTTGCATTCCCCTTCCCTATTCTCCGTCCGTTTTCATGTAGCCATACCTTCACTTCTTAAATACTGGCATTACAAAGTGATGCAATTTTACATCATTTAGCTAAAAAATATAGCCAGTAAAAAATATGTTGCCCTCCAAAATTCTTCTGGTATAATTCTAACATCACCCTCTCAACAAAAGGGTGGCCAACTCAATTGAGGGTGCGTTTGGGGCGGCGTCCAGGCCACGGGCGCGGCGGCTGGCCGCGATTTGACGTCGTTTGGGACTGCGTCCGGGCCACAGCGTCCCGCCGTTTTGTTTAACGTCAGTCGCGGACCGAACCCTACGGCCAACATTCAAAGGTTGGCATTTTACGAATCTTACCCCTCTTGCATTCGATCCCAGCGTTCGACTTCTCTGCTCGACCCCCCTCGTCGCTCCATCTTATTTTCAGAAATCAAGGAAGAGTGAAGAAAAAGAATGGCGCGAACAGACCTACATATCTCAATGGTTTCTTTTAGGAGTGGAGTGTAAGGATGAGAGAGATGAGAGTTTCGATGGTCTTTGTACGCCGCTATCCCGTTGTTGCCTTCCCAATTTGCTCTAATCGAGAGGGTTCATTCACAAAGGTCATGTTTTTGGGTGAAACCGGGAGGGGAGGGGGCATAATGGAGGGTTTTGGGCATGGAGTAAGGGTAAGGTGGAGATTGGTTTATGGTTTTATGTTTTTTTTTATTCAAGTTTTTTTTATTAAATTAATAGATTAATAATTAATGATTAACTCATATATTTTCAAATTAATCATAATAAAAAAAATTTGTGTATTTTGATTTAATAATTAATTAATTTATTTATTTATAAACATATTTTTTAAGTTTTAAATCATTTAATAAAAATATAAATTTTCTTAATTAATACAACTAATTAATTATTAATCAATGTTAATTTTTTGCTTAAGAAATAATTTGTTTAATAAAAAAACTTATTTTATATTTTGTTACAAACAACATTACTACACAAGGGTAAGATAGTCATTTTTCCATAAACAACTGCAACAAAGTTGTTTTCAAATTATTAAAAACAAACATGCTATCAGTTTTCCCGCAGCAGCTTCCTGAGGTGGCTAAGCTGCAGCTGCCCCAAACAGATCCTTAGTGTTAACCTTAAGGGTCTGTTTGGGGCAACTGTGGTTGTTTGAATAAACAGTTGTGAAACTGCTACAGAAAAAATAACAAGAAATCAGTTCTCCACACAGTTACATTCGATATTACAAATTTATTTTATTTTCAAAAAGGTCAGAGCTTAGCTTTCTGGAAACCGCCACACTTTAACAACTCAGGTTGAAAAAAATAACTTTCTACCACAGAAATTTCTAAAAAAGAACAAGAAATCAGTTCTTCAAACAGAACTGTGGCAACGGTCTAAAAAACAAAGCAGGTAAAAAGTTGTCCCAAACAGACACTAAACCAGTGCAATTTCCAAGAAAATGAGTATAGTTTTCTACTTGAACTCAAGCTTGTGCAACCCAAAGAACCCAAAAAGATTAATAATTGGTTATAAAATCTACCAATCCATATCAACTTTCTGTGATAGCAATTGCTAAATATTCAATATTACCCAAGGATTTTGAGAGATCTACAGGAGAAATTGTTGTATTTGATGAGCAAATTCTAATGGAAATCTCAGATAAAATAAGGGGAAAAACAAAATATTACAAAATTGATCCAAACTTAAGTGAATAAATAATATACTGGACAGTACATAGTTGGAAGTATACGGATTTTGTAGAAGCATCATCTTATTTTGAGGAAGCAGGTCTATTTTGGGCACAAAATGCATTTCCTGTCGAATAACATCTTTTAACTTTGTATATTGTGCGTAGCTAGATTTGAACAAAAGTTTTGTGAAAAAAAAGTCTCAAGTGTCCATCTTTCCATGGTTCAAAATTTGAGTTTGCAAGTGAAAAATTGTGTTAAGGAAATCCCCTTGTAGTACTAAACTATTCATGATTCCGTTTTTGTTTCTAAAAAGTTTTGAATTGGCTCGTTAGTTTTCAGCAAGAAACAGTCAAAAATTACTGTAAACTTCAAAATTTATTTTGTTTGGCAGCAACTATTAAGCTAAACATAATTTTCCCAGCCAGTAAATATAAAAAAAACGTTTGCCCACTTTCAAAATAAGTACTGATATTGAACCATTTTACGTAATATGCATGCTTACTGAAGTGAGAGTGAGATAAATCAAAATGATAAACAGAATATATGGCAAAAACACTCGTGCAATGCTGTCAAGCGTTGTTGCTTTTTGGTTTCTTTAATCTGTAAATCACCACTTTCTACAAATTCTTACTATCACCACGTATAAATTGGATTGGTAGCACACATGAAGGGAAAAAGTAATACCTGGAACAGTTGAGCCTGAACCAAAATCACTACCATAATCACCGAACAAAACAACTTCTACCGGTCCAACCTACAGAAAATTGTAATAAGAATTAAAATGCTTCGGTAAAATTCAATGTCATAATGCAAATCCATATGCTTCATAAATATATCTGCAAGTTACTAGAAAATGGGGATAATAAATAGTCTCATCATCAAATTTAAAAGTTCGATAAAATTTGCTAAAAAATAGTTATCCGCAAAAAATAAAGCACCATAAAATTTTGCAGGCTTTGGAGCCTAAAAGCAAGTTTTAGTGTTTGCTCATTTTCAAGGAATTAACTTACATAATTACTGAAATATCACGAGATTAATGTTTGTGCTTTGTGATCAAAGTGGCAAACAGTATTTCGATGTTGAAAACCAAAGCTCCATTCTGGTTACATCTTAAAATTGTTAGGCATGACCCCATCGTTTTGAGCAGATATTACCAAATGGAACTGACCGATATAACTAGTTTTGTGAAATCAAGAAAAAAATTTGACGATTTAAAATGTACATTTGGGGTATATTTTAAATCGTTAAAATTTAAATCTGCTAGGAAAGCCCGAAACAAAACATTATTAGGGGTACATTATTCCGGTCGTCGTAGCAGAGACGAGGTCGTGTCGGAAACAAAATGGTTGGTTTGTGGGTTTCCGTAAGGGCATCTAGCATGAAATCAGCGAAACTAAGAGAGGAGTAAGCAAAGTTAGGAAGAGAGCAGAAGTTTTCACAATTTCAGAGAAGGGCAAGTTGTCAGGAATGTCGTTTAAACTACATTTAAGCTAATCAGTTATGTTTTAGTAAATTATCTTACGAGCCAAGACAACCTGAAATATAAAGTTATTTATGAATTTCAAGTTGTTTACCCGAGACGGCGAGCTCGTGGCAAGTGTGTCGAGGCTAGTCGTAGGACGACTCTATATAATTCAGATAAATTAATCCTATGATAAAAAGAATAATTTGATTAACATAAATTGTTTGAATCTTAATGTTTGATTTTTGTTCTATAGGTTATTAGATCAGCATAAAGTTTATCGCAATGTCGAGCTAGTTACCGCAAATCAAGAATCTAATGTGGCAACTGAGGTGAATAATTACATTTTTAAATTTCAGTAATCTTCTTTATTTCAAAATTTCAGTTGATTACATATATGATTTAGTTCAGTTATATTTATATTACGGTGGATTTTTCATATTGTTGGATAGAAAATATATGCATGACAAAAAATATATACAAAATATGCATGAAAAATATGGACAATAACCATGATACAAAAGATATGCATAATATAAAGGATATGCATGGGATGAGAGATACGAAGAATATGAATAATATGAATGAGATAGAGATGAATAATACGAGAAATATGCATGATATAGGAAATATGAATAACGATTAGTTGCACAACAGAGTGCAAGTCAGTAGATGAATGAAGACGTCTCAAATGCAATAACCTGAATTTTTGTATGTTTTTATGTGCATGTTCTGTTGTGGAGTCCACCCCCTAATAGTATAGGCATAACATACTAGTATACTCGTGTGTGTAGTTTTTCTACCATTGCAGATAATTGTGATGTTTAAATCAATAACCACCGTGTCAATGAAAGAATATCGGCTATGAGTGAGTAGTCAGCTTACCTCCATAGACAATTGTGATGTTTATATCGTTAATAGTTGTGCCGACATGATAATATCAGCCAATAGCAAACAAGGATTTTTCCACTCCAGACAGTTGTGATATTTAGACGGTTAACTGTTGTGCCAACGAAATAATATTAGTTAAGGGTGTGTTATATTTGTTGATGATGATCCTCAAAAAAACAGATGTGTACATAAAGAATATAAAAAAGTAAATTTAAAGTAAATGCATTTAGAAGATTTGAGTATTTTCATTTAGAAAAGGTCATTGAAAGATGCATTTATATATATATATATATATATATATATATTCTCATAAAAATATAGAAGACTAACATATTATAAGATTTCATATAGAGATATAAAAGACCAGCATGCTTTTTGACTTCTTTTCCTTGGGTTAAAGCAATTTATAAGCATGATTAATCTTAGGTTATCTTTAGATAACTCATTATATTGCTTTACTAGTTTTTTAAGTTTTAAACTATTGAATAAGATGAATAGAATAGAGAGTAACAGGGTATAGAAAAAGTACAAATTTTTACTTAATTTTAATTGCTTTCTTAGTGGCCCTTTCAAAAAAATTTAAATATTAACCTATTAGTGATAGAAATAGGATAACAGAGAATTGATTTCAACTGTTCGCCCATCTGTTCCCATTTTAGTTAACTTTAAACCTCGGGACGGGTTGTGAAAAGTGATTTCAGAGCAAGATGTTTAGATTAAACAACATGAATCTTAATTGAAGAGCAAATAAGATAATTAAATTTAGATTATAAATAACAGAAATTAAAAATTTTGATTAAGTCTATTTAAATTATATGGTTATTATTTAAGAATTATGGATGTTCATGAGGAAGAGATCAAAGATGATAATTTTGAATCCGTTATACCTCAGACTCCAGTGCAGGTGCATTTTTTGATAAGATAAATGTTGTGACTCAAATGATTTAAATCTCAAACTAGTAACATTGTAGGAGCACCGATGAATAAGCACTTGAAGCTTTTTCAAGATATTAGACCACCTTTGTTCTCTGGATTAGGAGGGCTAGTAGAATTGAAAACTAACTATTGAGAGTGGAGAAAACTATTGATGAGTTGTCATGTCCACCAGAGATGAGAGTTACTCTGACGACTTTTGTTTTTGAGAGAGAAGCTGAAAGATGGTGACAAAAACAAATGCAAAAGAAATTCAGAGGCAGAACCAGTCAATTGGTGCAATGGGACACGTTCGTGAGAACCTTCACAGATTAGTTTGTAACATTGTCAGCTAGGGGACAATGCAAGATAAATTCATTATGTTGGTGCAAAGAAATCGATCAGTTATGCAATACGAAACAGAGTTCACTATGTTATGTAGATATGCACCCCAACTCGTTCCAAATGCAGAGAAGTGTCACAGATTTTATTTTGGATCGAAGGATTCAATCAAATAACCACTAGTGCCACTTAAGATTTAAGACTATTCAATACTAATGGAGAGAGCTATGTGCGTTGAGATTGATTTCCAACATACTCAGAAGTGAGAGATTTGCACAATATAAAGAGTTATGGAGAAGTAACACCAATAATTCATTCAGGATAAAGAGAGTCTATTGGGAAGAAGATAAATTCCTACACTACTGGAGTTATTAATCATGCTGGTAGCGGCACTATAGAGTCATATGTTAAGTGTGAAAAGTAACATTGTGGTGAATAATTGTTTGGGTTGAAGGTGTCTTACTTATACAGAGAGCATGGAAAACAGAAGAGAAATTATCCTAATTTCATTTAGAGATCCACATTAGATGCCACTCATGAACAAATCCAGCTCAGAGAAATTTTCAGCAAAATGATTGGATTGGGGGTTGGGAGTGTCATATGACCACGCCTTACAAGAAAAGGTCACCTAAGCAATTAAAATAGTAAACATAAGTGGCAGGAGGATTCATGGACTTCTTATTGTGTTTTTGTTGCTTGTTCTATAAATAAAGCAAAAGATTACAAAAAGAAAACAGGAGTCAACTACAAGGAAAACAAATGAGCCTGTAAATAAAAGAAGATAGAAAAAGGAACAGGAAGTAAAAAGGAAGTAAAACAAAATTAGTCCCATATGACAAAAAACCAAAATAGAGCTCAGACCTTACAGTAGGATTCTATGAAATGCCTCCATCAAGGAAGAACCTAATAAGTGGAATAAGTGTTCTTACCAATAATCATGGGCTAAGATCCATGAAGTTATGTTCAACAAAAGAGCATTTGAGACAATACAGCCTTCCAAAGCCAAAATTCCATTACACCCCCAAGAGAAAGATTGTCGGTTGAGTTCATAGTATGTGCTGTAGAATTCAACATAGCTCTCCCAAAAAATAAAAGAAAACCATAGATTTGGCAAAGTTGAAAAATTCCATCCAAAGCAATAACAAAAATGTCCCAACGTTGCATCTCTTGACGCAAAGGCCATATCAGATAACGCACTTCAGCCAAAAAAATCAAGATGCCATCAACAAAAACTCTTCTAAAAACCAGATTGAAAATAAAACTTCTTAAATGAGAAACTTTTGGGAGTAGTTGTTGCAGAAACCATCCAACTGTAGGAAAGAAACAAAGGATTAAATATCATAACCAGTATAAGGACGTGATGTAAGGTGGAGTTTCCAACTTAAACTTCCACTTTCTACTTTTGTTTGATAATAATTTTTATGGTAGTTAGAATATAACCCACAGAGAATTCTTTCTTGAAAAATCCTAGCAATTCTTTCTAAGCCAAATTTAATGTGCCACAACTTGAACCGCAAGCAATAAATAAGAGTTTGTAACTTTGCATCAAACTGAATCAATGTGTTCTAAATACTGAGAGAGGGTGCAAGCAAAGTGAAAAAAAGTGCCCAAAGGGGTTGCATTTTGCAATTTGTTAAAAGAAAAATGATATTCAAAGAAGAGATGCGGGTGGTTTTCATTACAACTCTTAAGAGTCTGAAGACAGCAAGCACATTAATACCTCTACTGCGAAGTTTATCAACAGCAGGTAAACCACTTAGAAGTCCATTCAAAGTAAAAGTTGAGCATTTAAGCGAGTAGCCCTTAAACCAGAGCATCATACTCCAAAAACATGATGTGAGAGGTTTTATAGAGAACCTTATAAACTTCCTGAAGGCTAAGTACATTTTAACTCCCCCATTGGCAAACATTCCCAGAGAGAGAAATAGAAATTTTAAGAATAAAGAGAACGCAATCTAGTGGAGCAGTATGATTTTGAGGGAGAATAACACAACTATTACTAAGAAAATTAGCAAAAAAGATGTTTTTAGAACAGTCAAACCAATTGAACACGTTGGCATCAAATTTCTCATAAGAAGATAGCTATGCATCCAAGTCAAAAAAGAAAAAAAGTTTGCTTTGTAGAAGCACTTTAAAATTAAAGCAAC